TTGGGAAAGAGGTTTTATTTTATGCAAATAGATGCATTTGTGAAAAGAAAAACATATTTGCATGTAAATGAGCATGTTTGTGCATCAATTAGTAAATTTGAGTTTTTCTTCACTGCAAGCACACATCCATTTCAGATGGCCATCAATGACTAGTTAGAGAGAAAGAGGAAACAATAATGAGTCAGTTTTCCTGGGCACTTGGCAGATATGCAAAATGCCTATTGTAGAAAAGAATGGGAAACTATACAAATGTAGAAAGACAGTAGTACAAAGCAGCGTATCCAACAGAACCACAATTCTCAGTCCGCCTTTTAAGTCTTCTAAGAGACAAAAGAATAAACGGTATTCTGAAAAACAAAGTTTATCCTGTCTATGTTCTGCAGACCTGCTAACAATACTTCATTGTAAAGGGCACCAAAGATGTAACTAGATAGATATTTAAAAAGTGATAGTCAACGCAGAAAGGATTGCTAGTAAGACCAATCCCACTGATAAGATCTCCCCTGAGAAGATATAACAGGCTACTAAACATGAGATCTAAACCATGCAGAAAACTACACCGAACTAAATTCTGCTCTTTTCCTCAACTGTTGCATGAAGACGACAAATAACAACATTGCATGTATATAAATACCACCAAATTTGTAAATGCAGTAGTGGGAAGTAAATATGGAAATTAGGCAGAGCTAGAGTACTTGAAATTTTAAAAGGCTATGTCCAAAATTTTGTTCTTCTCTGGAGGTTATTTTGAAACAAGTTATGTTCTTTCAAAGTGTTGTTTCATATGTCTGGCTTATGAACAAAGAAAGAAAACTATACTAAATACCAGCAACAGTCCATTTATCTAATGCCATTCAGTGACAGACACACCTCATGGTTATTAATACCAGGGGAATCCTTTGATAAACAGCACCTCAAGGATTTGTGAGGAGAAATACACAGAATCAAGCCGCTAATACTATTAGGGGAGCTACACAGTTATCTGAGTTGATGGACTGTTAGAAGCAGTCTGCTCATAGAACTCTGCAGAACAGGAAAGTAGCATCTGAAATGCGAGTCTCTCACTCGGCACATTGAGTTTCATTTTAATAATTTCAATAATTCCAGTGAATTCAGTGAGCCTGCTCCCAAAGCAAAGCATTGCTCAGCAGAATTAGTATGGGTGAATCCAGCACTACATGATGAAGGTCTTCTCTACCACAGGCAGTAAGTGAATTTTTTTTAAGGATGGATAAAAAGGATGGATGAAGCAAGAGGTTACCTCAAGAAACATACTTTTGCAAAGAGGGCTGACTGAAAAAAAAATAGACCAAATTCATTTTCTCAGGATGGTTATTAAGTTGATTGTAAAGCTGTTGCCATGGTTAGGAAAGCATGTGTATATTTTCATCTTCTGCAGGTCCAAAACACAACTTAACTTCCTCAAATAGTGCAAAGGGATGAAAACGGTAGTTATTTAATTGTTTAAAGCTGACCTTAAGTTTGTGTTACGAACTATTCACTAAATGCTGAAGATTATCTTTTCAATCATCCATTATTATTAGAGGCACTTTAAAGATCTTAAATGAACACACTTTATCCAAAGATGGTTTAATATAATTCACTATTCAGCCAGTATTCACAATTCAGCACAGATTTTTGTTGCTGCATGCTTATCTCTCGCATTCTAACACCTCTGCCTCAGCTGGTTTCTCAGACTTCACAAACGGATAGGTCTTGAAGAGGTGGAATACCCAGAGCTTTCTGGTTTTGCAAAAAAAGTCAACACTGTATGCCTGGGATTCCATGTGAAAATAAGTAGGCTGTTTCCCTACTAACTAAAGATAATGGATATCTGAGGTGTTAAATTTACACATTTGGAGATTTTCCCATCACATTGAAATCAGAAAACTTATCTGCATGTGTGCACACACGGATGGTCTTAAGAGCCTGAGGGAGCGTGTTTTGTTCTAGAAGGTATCATCTATTGCTTTCATTGTTTCTAGAACATTGAATTAATGCTTCAATATGTATAGCCATTCAGTAGTGGCCATCATCTGTCACTTGGAGTGGTGCAATTTGCAAAGGGACAATGAAGTTCCTTCACTCTTTTTGTCACATTAACTATCAGAAAAGATGTCTATTCTTTCTTTGCATGATCTTTTATAACTTGTAGTTCCCTTGCTCTGCTTTTCTAAGCAACACAGAGGTTAATCTCAAAACATCTGAAGTTCAATTTCAGTCAAGTAATCATTTCTGCTTGAGTCATTTACACAAAATTCTGCTCCTCGTGAATAAACTGGCAGTCACTTTCGTAAGTCAAGAGTAAATGAGCATGAGGAGCCCACCAGTAACAAGTGGCATACCCAGTTTTTTGTCCAAAGTCCTGTCTTACTGCTCATTAAAATCCCTGAGTTAAGAAAGCAAGCAAGCTTTTTTTGGAGCTCTTACGTTGAAAAAGTGAGCAGCTATTGTCGTTCCACTTCCAGTGCATGTAGTTTTGGAGGAGAAGGTGGTAGCAAGTTCTTCCTGCTCATTTTCTGGGAAGTCCTCTTAGAACTAGAAGCCCTAGTATGCACTACAGCACAGGGTGTAGGTTTTGGGGTAATATATTCATACATTCAGTAATATGGCAATAATTATCTTGCCTATTGCCTTTTGCTAATTTAAGCATATGTTCCCAACAACCTTCAATAAAACGGAACGTTCACAAAACCATCTGTTTTTTATTAACTGTTATTTGGTCTGTTCTTTCTGCCTGCTTCTTTGGTGAGATCTCTTGAGGACTGAAGCTGGGAAGAAAAATGGAGGAGGGAAAAAAAAACACAGGTAGAGTCAAGCAGGGACACTGTGGTCAACCCAGGTCTAACATTAAACATTAAAAGTGAGCATCTTGCTCACCTTAACTTGTCCTTTACTTTTATCTCAGGGAGGACTACGGCTGTTTTGTTAAAAAAAAAAAAATGCAGTTTTTCTTTGGGGCACTTTTCACTAGAAAGGAGTAGCCAAATCTTGCTTTTGAGAAAATGCTCATGTACAGTTCAAGTACATTTCCTCATCTTCCATCGCTTTTTTGAACACGCAGTACGTTGGCAGGTTGATAACCTTATAAATTGTAAAGTTTGTAATTCTCCTTACGCCATGCAGAGCTATGAGCATAAGGCACAGCAAGATAGCTGGGGTTTAAACTGTAAGACTCTAAAATTATTTTTGTTACGGTCCATTTCAAAACCAATAATAAGAGTGAACAGGTGAGACGCAGATGACAGATAGGATTCGTTAAGTGTGTCCTTTATAACTTACAGACGCATACCCTGATTTCGTCATGAGATGAAATGGAAAAGTAGAATTCAAAGGGAGTCTCTGAAAGCACGGAAGCAAAAGTTGGACTGACTCCTTGAGAAGTCTATCAAAGAGAAGGACGTTTAGAGGAATGGATAAATAGGAGTACGCAATGGCGCCATCGAAGAGAAGGTTTATAAAGTAGATTGCTATGAATAGCATTAGATTACTACTGTTAAATCACATCAAAACAAAACCATTCACTTCATATATTCCTTTCCATGGGTTATGCAGCTGAAGAGTGATTTTGTACATGTATACTCTGTATGTAAAAAGTACGAATGGAATCACTGCTAATAGTAAGGGAGTGGCCCAATGGTTAAACTGCATGGCTTGTAACAGGTGCAAGCCACGTATGTTGGTGTGCAACACCTACTCCACACACACACAGAGTAACATATCCAATCCACAAATCTAACTGACCTTCTTTTTGCCTCATTTACATTACCCCTGCATATTGATAAGCCTTAAAATATACATATATTTTATATTTTAAATATAATTATATATATTATTATATAAATTATATATATATAAATATATATACATTTCTCATTTCATACACAAAGGTTCTTGCTTATAGAGGACTGACATGGGAGATGAAAAAGAGACTCTTCTCCCAAAGTATACTTTATTGTGCCACTGAGGTCACTTGTTATTTTGGTCCATCCTCCAAAGTCAGAGGATAAATTGCTTATGTTAAGGCACACCGCAAAGAGCTTGGAAATTATACTTTTGTGCATTCTTTGATGCAGTTACAGTTTGTGCTATTTTGAGACTCACATATATAATACCAATTCTAAGTGCCATTTTCATGATTTCATACTTCCCCTATCTACATCTATCTATTGAGATACACTGTGGTCTTCCTTGCCTCATCTCATCTGCACCTGTGTGTCTACATCGACTTCACAAAATATGGTTAAATTCTTTAGAGACACTGCTCAGGGCAGTATCTGGAAAAGGAATGTAGAGATTATAATTGTATGAATGATGATTGTTTTGAGTTTGACAGTTGAAGTGTGCACAGGAGGGGTCATCTGAGGTCAGCTTGAAAAAGGTTTCATTTTTGAGTTCTTTAGCCTTTGTCTTTTAATTCCCTGTAGAAATATGGACCGAATTCTAATTTCCTATCAGCTTTTCCTAAACAGGTTTCACATTTGGGTATATCTGTGTTTTTCAGAAGAAACCAACACAGATTAATCCTTGAATTCAACATGATATATGAACTGCACTTTTTCAAAATCATGTTTATTATCTGTCAAAATATGCCCAGTTAAGACCATAAGGATCTCATGAAAATGCCATGATTCCACTCGCACAGGCACCCATAACCCTGGAAAAGTCCTCTAGTGTTTAGTAAGGATGCACTGCCCACGTGCCTCTTCTTTAGAGGGGGCATAATTTCCTATTACACTACAGAATCGTATTATCTGTTTTAAAAATTATCAGAAAGAACATTTAACATCCTTTACCATTTCTATTCATTTTAGATTGATTTCTGCTAATATCCAACTATTTTCTATAGCATCCTCTTGGTTTAAGCCTTACTCGGTTTTGTGCGATTACAAACAAATTCAGTGGCTGTTCACATTCAAAGAACATCTGCATAACTGTTCAGATCTAGATTAGAAAGCAGTAAGAGCCAAGAGGTTGATTTAAGAGTGGACAAAGCACTCACCAGGTAGGACACATCTCAGTCCAGGTGGTTCTAGGTAGGAATCCATTTCATGGGTCTATACAGTGGCTTTTCTTTACTATTCATATGGCGTGTTCTGAAGAAACAAGGAAGAAACGTGGAAAGATGAGTTAAAGTAGAAATATTAAGAGTTGGAAAAAAAAAAAAAAAGAGCACGTCCATTTAACATCATGCTTCCATAAAATTAGGAAAACATACAACTAAACTAAACAAACATTTAGATCAGTCTAAAGGGGCAGGATTTTTAAAAAGTAATGTTCAAGATACGTTAACAAAAATAACAAACTATTGCTGCACCATTAAAGAGGAAGGAGGGTTGTACAGAATCTACACTAATTAAAATAGAAAACACTTTTCATAAAATAAAAAGCTCAAAGCATTAATTTGAAGACAGCAATCTATACCCATTATTTTCTTAAAGCTAAGCCTCCATAAATGAAGTCCTACAGATTGTTCGAGATTCTCAGAAACCTCTTCTATTCATGTTACAGTCTAACACTGTTTTCCTTTAAGTCAATTGCTTACTAAAGCGGGTAAAGGAATGCTCTCATCAGTATACGGCCATCATTTAGCAGGGCTCAGTCTTTTTGCTCTCCACATTAATTAGCATACTACAACATATTCAGTTCTTAATCACGCAGTTTAAAGTTACTTATGTCAGAAATACATTCCCATAATACTGCAAGAAATAATTATGTACACTACTAAAAAACTCCCACAACATCTGATTCTCCTGAAAGGTTATATTTCAAATTGTGACCTTCATTACAGGTATTTGTTTAACAGTATTCCATATTTGGGCTTTGTCAGGTTGATAGGTCTGCCTTCCATTATATAATTTTTAAATTGCTATATAAAAACATAGGACTTCTTATACACCACTGAACTTGTTCTTTGTCGGGAGAATTTACACCTGCTGCTTTAGATAAAGTTTACAAAACAATAAAGCATCTTAATTGAGTTTCCATGTGTATGTAGCTGATTTCAGGATATCCAGGCGTCTTACGCGGACAAAAAATGAGGTCTCAGGCAGGTGTTTCAAACTCATTCCATTTATATATATACATATCCTGTCTGAAACGTTCATTTTCAATTCTGCTCTTCTCTATGAATATTGCAGGCAATGCAATGTAACGGAACTATGAATGCAGCACTGAGCGAGGATAATGAGACTACAATTAGTGATGTGTTCTGTCTATGTGTTGGCTGCATCCTATATGTAGACGCAATTAGCAAAAAAACCCCACAAATTTTCAGAGAGATTCTTTCCCTTCATTAATTATAAGGCCCCAGCTCACTGCACCCAGGCTCAACCTGTGTGTGTGTGTCACCTTCTGCTCTGGAGCAGGGCTTTTAATTGAAGTCTGTTACTAGTCAGGGTTTCCTAAAGGTCTCCACTTTGCATATAATTACGTTATCAGATAGATGCCCATCCGCACTCTGTCGACACAGCCCTGGCCTCCTTGAGTAGATCAGTTTATTCCTCGCACCTAACCTCCATGATATGAATTTTTCCCAAGAGCAGAGATCAAAGAAGCAGCTTTGCCTCAGACTCGGAAAAATTTTGGAAGACAGGAGAAAAACTTCTTCACCTGCCATACACAGGCTTCTGCAAGGCTGAGGAAGAAAGACACAGGAGAGATTATCTTCCTTTGGAGAGTTATAATCCAAAATCCATGTAAAAGTCAAAGGAAAGGATCTCACTCCTTTGAAAGACCTTTTCAGTCACGCCCACACATTCTCTTACTCACACTATGAAACCGCAAACATCAGGTTCCCTATTAATTCTCAGATATTCCTTTAAAAATATTCCAGCTTTTTAGCCGATTATTAAATTGATAATAAAATAGGATAGAAATTTTGTTTGCAATTGCTGGTGATGAACTTCTGAGCAGCTGCTTTTCTATACCGAATATCACTCTTCAGTGATATAATGCCAAGTCATTTAAGATACTGATAGATAATCGATACATGTTTCTAGATATTATTTTCTACTTCTGCCTCTTCTAGGCCCAACTACAGCTTTCCTGAGGGGGATTTTCTATGTCCAGGACTCATACTGAATGCCTGGATCTGCTCCTTTGGTGCAATTAGGTTTTTACAACAGCAAGCCGCTGAGTATTTGGAGCTGGACTCAAAGAGGATCTGATCGTGCTAGAGGAAGCAGAGGGGAGGTAAACAAACCTAGAGAAACGTGGAACTTCCCTATGTATTCAGCAGGTGGTTAGAAGAGATTATTTTTATTATTTATGTAATATTCAGCCTTCGCCTGTGGAAAATAAGATAAAGAGTTTAAAGAGTGAGCACCATTATTTTTTTCTTCACTTACAGACTGCAAAGTACTTGGATGCAGGGGGAATACGGAACCCCACTGTATTATCTGGTGAGAAGGCCACAAAGAATTTTAGATACTTTCTGACCAGCCCTCACATCTCCTTTTCTCTGTTGCCTGTGGACAAACTGCACAGCTAGAACACAGAATCTGTCCAAATCGTCACACCTCAAAGCAGTACAATAACGTGCAACTTGCAAGAGGAATGCCTTTATTTAGGACACCATGATCCACTGAAGAGCAGAACGAGTCAAGCAACCATAGTTCCTGTCTGGGAGAAGTGCAAAGTACAGTACCGTAACTTCATCTTGGCTGGGCAAACATAAACAAGAGTACTCAATTTCCAAAGTGGTTTTATTGGTTTTTAGGCATATATCCTTCTTCCCCTTTCTGCCAAAATTTTAGTAAAAGTAGGCACCATAAAGCTTATCTTTATTTTGATTAGCATCCTTTACACTTCCTGTAAATAACGACAGAAGAGAAAACTATTTGCCTTTGCTAGTGAAAGAATCATATTCTTCATTTTCATGGAATATGAAGCTCAGTATATTAGATAAAAACAATCAAGTCCATATATTCCTTTATGTGATAGGATAATCAATGATAACATTGAAATCTCATTTACAGAGCAAATGTATTCAATCAGAAAACAAATATTTTTCTTATTCCAATAAAAGCAAGCCCTGAGGTAACTAATACAGAAGGCAGGCAGATTTTTATTTTATAAAAATAAAATACCATAGCTCTAAATTACTTACGTGAATAGATTCAGTTATGCTCGATTAACACAGCCAAATGTGATTCACTCAAAATAATATGTTTGTCAACTCAAATAATGATACATTTGATCTGCTATAATTCAAAGGAAATCCATTTCAACATAGACTGATTATGTATGTGCAACTCTCAGTAAAGCACACTAATTTGCATAGACCAATAATAAAAACACAAAGCACCATCAAAAGTCAGTATGAGGAATTATAAAAGCCTCTCCTAACTATAAATAAGTTTGTATTTCTTTAAATAAATAAATGTTATGATTCATGATCGCTCATCTTAACTGTCAATATTGATTCATATGAAACCAACAATACCTACAAAATGGTTCCCATCTAATTTCTTTTCCCCTCCCTAGCACTCAAACTAATTAAAAGACAAAGAAAGACAGATTCAAGACGGACAAGCAACGCACAGTACAGCACACCATTTAGAGGATTATATGATTCACAAACACATAGGATTTTTCTCTTTCCTGTTTACTTGGTCTTCAATGGCAGTAACTGTGCATTATCCTTCTGTGCTCAGTGTAACAGTGACTGCATGTAGGGTTCAGCTTATCAGGCAGTATGTCCAGGGTAGCTGCACAAGCGGGAGTGCTCTCTGTATACTAGGGAAGATACACGGACAGCTCCACAGATGTAACTCTTTCTTCACAGCATCCACCATCACTTCTAACAAGGAAGGGCTTAAGTATCTAAATAACGAAGGATCTACACGTGTTTCTCACGTTCTATACGTTTGTCAGTATGCTTGGTGACGAAAGCATGTAAAGATGTCTTAAATGCTGTAAAAACGAAATTCAAAGAACATGAAAAGAAAATCAAGCAACAAAAGAAATACACCATAGCTACACCACTAACACGTTCAGAGATTAGATTGCAAACTTTAAGGCACAAAATATACACATCCAGTTAAAACACGTGAATACCATGAAAGCACTCCTATTTTCTCATTGTCTAAGCTACCCTATGACTTGTGAAGTATGCCCACTCCAAAAAGAAATCCCCTAAATATTTAAGGCTCCATCCTGAAAAAGCTGACCATTCTAACCAAAATACCTCCCACCCTAACTCAGAAGCACATTGGTTACCTTTAATATCCTGTACAGAGCCTGACTCCTCAGATGAAGAGTATGGCTTATTTCAAGATCCCAGCAGTTTAATACCCCAGCATGAAAGGTAAGCCCTATACATGAAGTTTGGAGTACTTTGCCTTCTGATGCTTTCTAAGCATGTAATACTGATTGCTTTACACAATATCTAGACAACCCATCAACCAAGTGTTCCAGGAACATCAAAGAGTCTCATCTCTTCCACTGCAATGGATGAAAAATGTCATATTTAGATGTAAAGGATATTCTTTTACAGCAGCAATTTGCACTCATGACACACACAATTATCAATAGCTGAAATTTGTGAATTAACCATCAATCGAATTAGCAGAATTTAAAGCAGTAAGGATAAAACATCAAAATATAATTAACTAATTTTGACAACCATACTTTAATTATTTATTCCAACATTCACAGCATACTAATGCATGTACTGCAGTATACTTAGTGAAATGAAGTCCTAAAACATGCTACAGTTTTTATATATCAACTACATGGTGAACAGCAAGAAAGGGCTGCTAACCATTTTATTAGGCCAGATATCATACAGTGTAGTAAACGGAGAACTAAGACTCTATTGTTTTGTCCACTATGCATGTATGAAAAGGAAAATCTTGAATGTGGGTTACTAACAAAACGTGTAGTCCTGTAATTATCCACAGATAATCATATTAACATTTATATGTTTACCTTCCACTAACCAACATGTGACACCTAACTGTGCGCAACTGCCAGGGAATTAATTATCAGCCTTTCCCACTGCACTGATCTGGTTGATCCCTGAATTAAAACTGGTGACTCAGCATTCTGTCCAGTTACCAGGATAGATAATTAAAGCTGCCTCAGATTAAGC